GACCAAAAAATCCACATACGTATAATTAATAATTTACGTATACAGTATCGACCTTATTTGATATTTCACTATTTTACATTGGGTATGCGATTTGCTGTATTGAGGATCATATAACATACGAAATTCATATAAAAGAATTCTTAAATTTTGCTTGAATCTAATAAGAAATTGTTAGATTTCGATATCTTTATCCGGACATTATAGTCGTCTTTATTTACTTTATTAAATTTCATGTATTTGTTTTCTAAATCTTGTAATTGAATATTCTAATGATCATATCAGATATTACATTTTAAAATTTTAAAATGTATCAATAATCAAATTATAAAATTAATTTATTATTTTACTCCCGAGATATCAAGAAGTGGAAGTTTTAATAAGTTACAGAATTGAAAGAATTAAACAAGTAACTTTGATCAGTAACTTTGATTCAGTAACTTTGATCGAATCTAATATTTTATCTTATTTTCTTTTTATTACGATTGTTTTGTTTGATACGTTTGACGTACCGAGGACAACTCGCGGGTAAAGGAATGTAAAAAGTTATGCGAGAGAAATTTTTTGGTGATAAAAAAGGTTATCGTTTATTGTGTTGCAAAATTCAATTTTTCTGTACTCGATTATTTTCGAGTATCCGTAAATCGAGAAAAAATCGATCTCGTGGGGTGCCGGACCACTCGAAAGGAGATTTCACTTATTAAGGCCATTTAATAGAAATCTCATAATAAATCGACCGTTTTGTTTTATAACCTTCAAATTTCAAAAAAATTTGAAAATCTCTTGGGTACAAACATGCATAAAAAACCCCAGTTTACTTTGAGGTCGTACCACAGCCGAGGCAGGATTATTTTGCATCGAATGATGGTTTACGGGAACTCGCCTGCCACAATCAAACCTGATGGGGCTAGAATATGCCATGCAGTGATTCTTAATCATACATAGGAATTATGCATAACCGTGCCTCATAACTCGCCCTTGGTTATGAACATCAAGTTTTTTTGACCATACCGGGAATTTACCCAACAGAGATTCTGCGGTGCATAATTCTGGACACTCTAATCTGAAATCAGAAAACAAAAAAAAAATATATAGCATCATTAGTA